CCCGTCCGGGCTAAGTCACTCGTGTTCGATACGGTATCGGGTTACCTAGGTGTTGCGGTACGGTGCGTATCGCGGCGAAAACCGGTCCAGATTCTTACCACGTTGAACATTATGTGTCTCAGTACCGTGTCTCAGCAGCGAGCGACATGAATCCCGAATGCGCAACGTTGTGGAAGGACGGAAATTCGGGGCTGTCGTTGCTCTTCGCCACTCTGTGCATCGTCGATATTTTCGGCGTATTCCCGATAATCGCGTTACCACGATCGATTGTCCAGTGCGGTAAGATCTCGCTGCAATTTTTATCGGGCTAAGAGAAGTATCTGACGATATGAAATATTTTGCAAGAATACCGAACATCCTGAGAAATCTCTGTGATCTTTCTCAATTATGAATTAAAAATACTTACCAGAAATAAAAGAGGAATTTATACGAGAAGCTCTGTATAGCGAAAGAGAGGCTTGCTTGATTGCGAGAAGTGTTTGTAACGATTGTATATTTGTGATGACATTATATATAGCAATAAGTTAATGTTAATTAAAATAAAGAGTATCGCGTAATAATTATTGATTCCTGTATTAATCTATCAATAAAAGCGCCAGCACAAATTGTTCGTTTGTTAATGGTTTCCTATATTCCGTTTTGTTGATAGATATAATCCTTGGAATAAAAAAATTGGACATATATTAATACACAAAGAAGGATGGAATGTAATATGTACTTGTTGAAAAAATATGTGTACTTGTTATTAGGACTGTACGGAATCCCTTTGGTGCTTATTGTTCTTGGTTTGCAAATTTATACGGCCATTCTGTTGGGGAGATCATGGATTATCGCGACTGCTCTGGATCCACAGATTTCACGAAAAAATCGGTATCTCTCCACCGTCCATCTAGAATTAGAACATTTAAATGTACGCATGTCTGTACAAATTTCTCTCAGACACCTTTCTATTAAATTCTTCAATGTTTTCCACACAATAAGACATTTAAAAATGTAGATTTTACGTCTAGATATATAATTAAAATTGCAGCTATCCTCTCGCCGCTGTGACGGAATTAACGATGGGGCAGCGCGCACGATCCATCATTACTCTGCTTTTGGATCTGACGGTTTTTGGTTGCGGCATCCCGAATTTGTTAGTCGGTAGGTAAATAGGTACCTGCAATTATACTCATGGATTAAAACACAAAGTAACAATCATTTTTATTCCGTTCAAAAATTTGTTCTTTGTGCTCGACATGGTTGATACGAATGCAAAGAAGAATATCCTCTTAATTATATTGCATTTTTTAATAGACTTTTCTAAGATGTTATGAGATATATCCTGCATATCATTTTGTTAAACGCAAATGATTTTTCAGCTTCACAGAACTTGCATCTGTTCGGGCTCAAGATATCGGGACAACGTTTTGATCTTTCCTTCTGTTATTGGCTATTGATAGTCGGCCTTTTACTTTGCCCGTTAATGTGGCTGGGCAGTCCGCGAGACATGAAGTAAGTCAGTAAACTGTTTTTCATATTATTATAATTCGTATACACCGGAAATGAATACTATTTATTGAATTATTATAGATGGATCGCAACGTGCTCTAGTATAATGGTCGCTTTAACAGCGATATTAACGTGGTGGAGCATTATAACTGATGACCGAACATCTGATGTCGCACCAATTGTCACTTCTCCAACGTGGGATAAATTTATTTCCGGGTACGTGCAATTCCTGTATCACACAAATATACATTTAGCAAGAGCTTTTTCCATAGTCAAAGTACATCATAAAATAATTAATATTATAGTATAATATTAAGTATAAATTTGCCAAATCAAACGATCTATTAATTAATTATTTAATAATTACTTGAACGAATTTTCAGATATGGTATGCTAGCCTTTCAGTTCGATGTGCATCCTACTTTAATGACGATACAGGTTGATATGCGCAGTCCTCGAGACATCGATAAAGCTATCTTCTTTTCTTTCATGGGTAAAAAATAGCGGAAAAAATTATTTCTTGCATTTTGTCTCTGTATACTTTGGGGCGGAGTCACAATATAAAATATTTTTCTTCCATTTATTCAAATTTCCACTTTTTATAATCTTAAATAATTTCGCATCTACTTCCTCAATATTGAAATAATATTTTATAGCTCCGAGCGTTTTCTTTTCTTGCAACTCCTCTCTTTGTTAGCATTATTCCTTACATTAATTTTTGTTTACAATAGCAAGCGGATCGCTGTTCACCATTACCACTTGCCTAGCCGTGTGGAAATACGGCGGCAATACGACTGTCAATATTCTTGAGGCTGTGCCATCCGGATCGATTGCAAATATCGCCATTCTATTAGCCGCTCTTCAGTTATGCTTCTCCAGCGTAATTGGCTACTCGGCACTCTTTCAACATCTGGAGGATCAATGGAGCGTACAAAGAAGTAAAGAAACTTTACATTTAACTATGATTTAATTAAAACCATAATTAATTTACCCTACTATTATGTTGAATCAGCTTTCGGATGGAAACGATGCGCCATGCGATCGGCGGTAGTTTTTCTCAGCGTGGTTGTAGGCGAATCGGTATCGCGATTCGACATCGTTATGGCTCTGATCGGTGGCTCGTTAACCGGATCATTGGTCTTTGTTTTACCACCTCTAATATACGCTCGAGCATTAGCTTTAAAGAAAAAATCGAATCATATACCAACTGTCGAGGCACGGATTTATTCTGGTTCTCGCAAAAGACTTAACGGCGAAGAGCAACGTTTGATGGATCCCGGAGCTCATTCCCGTTCAATTTATTACGGTTTCCTGAGTGCCACGAATAATCCTCGCAGGTATCGAATGCTTAGATATATCTAAATACTTTTTTTTTTATTAATTAACTCTATATGTAAATTGAAAAACTTATTTTTCCAAAGCATGTTATCTTTGTTAAATCCATTCGACCTACATTTAGCGTTTTAATATTGAATTTTTACTAGCTACACGTATCTCTACTTCGACGACTTAGATGACGAGATAAATTCACATTTGAGCGGCGAGTCCGCTGATTGTTACGAGGGCGAACGCAGGGACGAAGCCACTCAAATTCCAATGACTAAAACTCGTCAGGAGGACCAGCCGCTTCTTATCTATGCTACAGAGCCAATCGGAAGTCGAATCAGGAGGTCTACAGGTGATCCGCAAGAGGAGACCGCAGGAACGGTTGCAAAGAGGAAGAAATTATGGAATCTAGAAAGGATGATTAATTACTTCGGCTGCTTCATAGTAATGATTGGTATAGCGATCACGCTGTCTTCGACATATGTCAACATTTGGAATACCATACGCTACGTGCGTTTTACGCCGCCGTGCATCATTAACGCTACTGCGGGCTAAATCTTCGCACAGTTTCTCAATGTTCGTTTAGTTTCACCAATTAATTGTAACGTTTGTATTTTGTATAATATCTGTCGAATATGAAGAGTGCGATAAAATCGGATGTGAGAATGTAAAGCGATATTCTGCAATTTATCCTCACATATTTCATTTCAATCTAGAAATTATATTTCTTTCTTTTTTAGAATATCCGCAGAGAATTCTTCTCTCTGCTATCCGCGAACAAAAAATCGGGATGACAGTCTAGTGTAGGGTGTCAAACTTGTAACCACGGAAAACCAGGTTTGAGTCCACCTGATCACAGAAATTTTAATATTCTAAACTACACCCTCCGTACGAAAAATAAAGGGGGGGGGGTTCTCATGCGGAGAAACTGGGCTCCGTCTTTTGGAAGAGACGTTAAGCTGTTGGTCCACACATAGCAACTGGAAACTGCTATGTGTATCCCCCCATAAAAGTGATTTCTAGTTTTCCAAACTGGGAGTTGAGTGCCTAGGCTAACAACCTGCCCCCTTAAAAATTACTGTTAAGAAACCTGAAGGCCAAACAATTCAGAAGGCCATGGCTCGACCTACTCGACCTTGAACTGTAGCACCATTGATGACAATAATCCGCGAATAAATACAATTAATCTCATGGCGTATTTCCTTTTGGTATACAATACTTTATTTCTATCATTTGTCTGTCTGAAACTGGCTTATAAAGAGCCCCTCTGCTTGAACACTAATACATCACTAGTATTCTTATTTGGTTCAATCGTAGGAAAATCTCACATATATATTGATATATTTAATCGTATTAAAAACACGATATCCAACAAATAGAATACATAAAGTTTAAAATTAAAATATAAAAAGCATTTTCTACTCATAGACGCATTCACTGGTGAATGTGATGATTCTTGTTCTTACTTTCACACATAACCATTTTCCATCGTTGAGTCTTCAAAGCAAGCACTAAAAAGTCAAAATCATATTATAATTCTATAATTGTTAAACTTGATATCTTGCAATGATATTTTAAGGTTTCTGTTCACTCATCACTACTCAGATTGTGACATTCCACTTTCTGGCTGTATTGCTAAAGTTAATAAACATTATATAATATATATACTCAGATTGTGACGTCAGAAGCAAGAAAATATACAGTAAAAATTTTGCTAAATATTAAAATGGAAATACGTTTTAATAAAACAATACTTACAATCGATAGAACTGACTTGTAAATACCGAAAACTCTCCTTTTATTTCGTTAATTATATGTATAATCAAAAACGAAATAAGCTATGTTCACAGCTAATGACAACTGTCAAATTAATAATATATAGAAATAAATATGATTTAATTCCTCCCCGAAACAAAAAATTAATTTTCGGTATATTTTACAAGTCGGTTCTATCGATTGTAAGTGTTGATTTATTGAAACATATTTCCATTTAAATATATTTAGTAAGAATTTTTATTGTATATTTTTTCACTTCTGACGTCACAATCTGAGATAGTAGTGGTGAGTAAACAGGAATCTTAATCGGCGTACGAACCTCATTCTCTCCATATATCGTTGTTTTTCAATTTCGATCTCCTCATTCAATACCTGCTTGAATTCCTGGATCAACATACGTCTCTCCTTCTCTAGTTCGGAAATCGTCCTTTGCACATAGCAGATTTTTCTCTCTATTTCACACCTTTCTGCGCTTGGAGTTTGCTCTTTATTTTCTGTTCCGAAATGAAATATATAAAAAGCAAAAATACAAACACAAAATCAAATAAAACGGTATACCTTGCTGCTGCTTCCGTTGATGTTGTCGTGTGATGTAACTCTTCAATGTATGTTTTACTTTTTCGTCAAAAGATGACATATTTATTACAAAAATAATCTCTCGTAAACTTGATTAATCTTGCCTAATCACTATATGATTTATGAACATTGCGCTAATCATAGATCTGTCTTCTGTTCTTCATTCCAGTATTATGCTTCGTTTTTCGTGGAAAAATCGCCAGCGTACTATATTAAAAATCGGTGGTCTGGATAATGACTAAAACCTAAAACCGATGAGTACGAACGGTACGTAAGCCGGTCAAACTAATAAATTATGTACGTATAATAGGTCATATGTGAATGATAAAAACAAATAATGAATAAAAAAACTTGAAAATTGTTAAAGCAACAGATTTAGTAGGCCAGCAGCTCGCCAAGAGACAACGCACGTGTAAAGCATGCTTCGTGACACGTGTACTTCGACCAATAACATTCAGGCGCTTGTAACCAATAGCAGACTTCGAAACATTCTTTGTTCTCACACTTATTGGATACCTATACCGCGTGCTTCATGTCCTCCTTAATTATTTCTTATTCTATTCGACATTTATAATCTCATTATTAGTGTTGCGGAAACATCGTAGAAATCGATAATTTTTTCGATTACGTTTTTAAAATATTAGGAAAATATCACACAATGCAACATTCGATCATTTTTCTATATCTAATATATATCTGAAATATCTTAGAAATTTTATTTTACGACGTTAAACGTATGCAATTTATTATTTTGATTATCACGTTTTATGTGTCCGATGATTTTAATATTTTGAAAATCGTAATATATATAGGTACTTCGAAATGCATGGAATGTGTTACGATGAAATCGAAATGTACTGCCATTTTTTGACGGTATGTTCAATGAATTATTTGTAATACGTATTAAAATTACCGCATTGATCGATCCCTTTATGCTATGTACTAGAATTGATACAATGTTTTAAAATATGTAATTGTCCTGAAAAAAAAATACGAGAATATAGAATTAAGAAAAACTGCCAGAAGCCCAAGCTGTACGAAACCTTTGAATTTTTCCATATATTTAGTACCGGTCTACAATAGGTGTTTTAAGCCCTAAGCCTTAAGAAATTGTTCAATCACAGTTGAATTTGAGGAGAATAGTTGACTGTGATTGGTCAATTTCTTAGGGCTTAGGGCTTAAAACACCTATTGTAGATGGGCACTTATTCCCATATATTCGCGATTGCACCGCAATGGTTGTACACACGAAGTAATGTACTCGATAAATACTCGTATTAATTCGCCGGCACATATCGTGAGAATGACGATGAATTTCGGAAGATGTGGGAGTGATGAAGATCGGACGGTAGATGGAAAGGGTAGATAGCTCTGCAAGAACGTGTACAATAAGGCGCTTTATTTCTAAAAACCTCACGCTCATTTAGCATCGTATAGAAATAGTACTTCTTATGTCTAGATTGTGCGAGTTGTAGCATGGTGCGCAAGTATAAATATAATAAATTTCAGTCGCAGCTCGTCGCTCTCCGCCTCGTTAGCATTCGTTAATCTTCGTTGCCCTTTCTCGGCGGGCATGTTGAAGGGAGACCTTCCCGAGAGAACTGTCCCTTCACATGCCGTCACCGCCGCTGTCGCCGGTACCACCATCGCCGTCGACGCTGACACCGTCGTCGCCGGCTGCCAGCGATTTGCTGCCCTTATCCCGTTTGGCGTTGTGATAGAGGTAGGAGTGTACACGCAGACTGTTACTGTTCTTATATTTATTACCACAAAGCTTACACGTGAGACTTTCAAGCGGGCCGTGAATATAACGGACGTGGAGCTTGAGGTTCTCCTTGCGCGTGAACTGACGCAAGCACCACGGGCACGCGTACATACGTATTACCTTGCCATGCTCCATGCGCAACGTCGGTCCCAGCTCTGAAACGACACGTAACGTTGTCTCCAACGGTAAGCTGCTGCCGGGGATACCCTTGACGGTACGTCGTCCCTTATTGCTGGAATTCGCCGTCTCATACGTGAAATCACTCGGATAAGTCGCCGTGTCGCTCAGACCTGGCGAGAAAGATGTGAGAGAATATCAAAGATGCGTTCGATTCGATAAAGCTATCACGGAACTACATAAAGAGTGTGAAAGATGAATGTTAAATAGGATGCACATAAATGTATAAGAAAAAGAGAGAGCGAAAGAGAGAGGGGGGGGGGGCGAGGGAGGGAGAGGAAGGGAGGGAGGAAGGGAGAGAGAGAGAGAGAGGGGGGGGAATCAGAATCGTCATTTATTAGACGCTCTGGGACTACGTCCCCTAAAGCGTCGAAACTAAATTACAAAAAGAGTAGCAAATTAAGTATAAAACATTCTCATGGATTCATATATAAGAAGCAGTTACAAAAAAAAATATAAGAATAAAGAAAATAAAGAAAATACAGATAATATAAATGAGACGTGTTACTACATTATCTTATAGAGCTTACAACTAAAAAAAAAAAGCCATAACTGAAAGATAATTTACAAAAGCCATAGAATAAAAGATAGTTTACACTATAATCTCAAGATACGCTCAGATCTGCTGACGGAAGTCTCATGCACCTAAAGACGAAAATTGCGAAAACAGGAATTCATATAGTTTGGTCTTGAAAGAGCCGATACACGTCGCGTTGCAAATGTCAGAAGGGAGAGAGTTTCACGGCTCGGCAGCGGATAAACAAAAAGATCGCTTATAGAATTCAGTACGGCAGAGCGGAAAGTTTAGGGCATCAATCGGAGCTCTAGTATGGCGCTGCATACTTTCATGCCTAAATGTAAAATTGCTGTAGATAACTTGCGGTTTTTTCTTCCTGAGTACCGAGAATGTCAAGGGGGGGGGGGGAGGGAGAGAGAGAGAGGGGGGGGGGAGGGGGGGGGGGGGAGAGAGGGGGAGAGAAAGAGAGAGAGAAATATTAGATCGCTGCGAAAGACTTATATTTGCCAAATAAAATTAAAAACGCAATTTCAGTAAAGTGGAAGCAAGATCATAGGCTTCCCTCTTTCATGTACAGAGAAATCTTTCAATTCAATCTTCAAAGAACTCAAGTTTCCTAAATTTATTTAATATAAAGTTGGATAGGGAAGCGACAACTAAGTTTGCACCAATCTAATACTTATAAGCAATGTGCAATATGTGCATAGCAGAGATACGACTTCTGAGATATTGAAAAATTAACTTATACGATAAAAGAAGGCGAGGTATGACTTGTATATTTACATTTAAAGATTGATAAGAAATATAAAAAAGATGAATGATGCAATTTGTATTTTTCCTGTAACAAAATCGCTTCATTCATTATACAGTCGAGTCATCATCTAAAGAGATAAGTGACAAATTAGCATGAGAACGAATAGTTTTGCGATTTGAAAAGAAACAGAGGATAAGACCATCGTCAGCGTAGAACCAATTCACGAGTACTGGGATATGAAACTAGCCAATATATGATCCGCCTGCAAAAAAAGTATCTTGCGAATTGGTTCTCTTTCCGTACATGCTGCTGAACAAGTTGAAGAATGTGAACGACAAGCGAAATGCGGTAGAAGTGTAAAACGTACCGAACGGCTGAGTTTGTGAATTCTGATTGTAGGGAACTAACTGCGTATCTGGCGTGATATCTGTAAGATAACATCGCTTTCTCTAGACATTCATGACCGATGAGATGAGGTGCCTGATGAACTTATGCAGAGTATAACTCGAGGAACATCGTTTGCTCGGATTTGAAACACCCATTCGCGTGAACATGCAAACGTGATATTGCGTTGATCACAGAGATTAAATTGACTTTAACCCCCGGCGTTGCGGTTCAACGAACTGATTTTACATGTGATAAATGACCATATTCCTTGCTAAATCGTAATGCGTTAGAAATTTGATAGAGAAACCAAGTCGCTTGTTGGAAGGATGGCAATGAGATAAAAAATGTCCACGCTAGAAATACCGGGGGTTAATTATTCAGTACGTAAAAGTGCTTAGGAGCTTGTGTCGCAGTCAAACATGTGATAATGAGTCTCAATAACAAAGTATACATCTATCCGTGGCAAGACTTGAGTGCGTCAAACCTTTGGGGCGCCGATACTGCTGGTACAGCAAACTTTTCTCTTTGCCGAAGGGCGTTTCAGCTCCGGATGACGTTCCGACGACGTCATTCGATCTACCGTTAGCGTTGTCTTTAAAGTACACGAGATGCCGACAGGATGGGGGGGAGAATCACTACCTTGTTTCGGCACGTTCTCGTTGCCGGTATAGAGTATTTTTTCCGCCGTGTATCTGTATCCCGAATCCGTGTCCGTGTCCATCGTGTAATCCAGCGGTTCGTGCTTGGTTGACTGTGGCTGACTCACGTCGGACGTGCAATCCAACGGCTGTTCTTCGCACGGCGCATCCGTACTTCTGCTCCTCTCGCTGAATGCCGTCCGTGCGTCCGGAGCATTGTAGTCGGCTTCAGTGCAACTTTGCCAGTGGCAAGTGTCAGTGACAGTTGATGTTTGTACGGTAAATGGTCTTTCTCTCGTCGAGATATCGTCTGTCGAAGTGCTCTGCCTCGTTGTCGACTGTTCTTTCACGATATGCGTCAGCCTGCCGAATGTGGAAACGTTTTCATCCGTACCGCTAGGATCGCATTTGTCCCTCTCCATCTCATAGAAATCACGATCCTCGAAGTCCTCGTCATTCTTCCCAAGACTTTCTCTGAATCTCTGCAATGCAACAATCAGCTCTGTAAAAGCACCGTACACTCTCAATATATTTTATTCGAGTTTATATAGAAATTGATTTGGAAAAGGAGTAACAACTTTTATAAGTAATAGCACCCTTTCTCACATTCCACACATTGTTACTGTAACATTAGCACTTTCCCAAAGCACTCTATATCTTTGCAAAAATAATTCCAGCCGTATAGCGAACCTCATCTGCTTCTGTAGTCAGTCCTTTTATTTGTAGAGCCTCTGCAACTTTCAAAAAACCAGCAATATCCTCCTGCTTGATATTGACCTCCCCTTGATACATGAAATGCAGCATAGCTGACAAATCTCGATAATTGACATCTTTCAGGATGACAATAGGATGCTTGCATGAGTTTCCCTGTGTACAACAAATCACTGGAGCTTCAGCAGAAGCGCTCCCACAACCGTTGCTACTAGAATAATATACCTTGAAAAGCTCTCGGAAATACGTGCTGCAGACCGACAATATCAGCTTGTGGGCTCGCAGGATCTGACCTTCGGCGGCCAACGTGACGTCCACAAGGTGCTCGTCTGTCAGCAAAGTGTACAAACCCGAAGACAAGTTTGTGGGGAAGCTGTTCCACACCAAGGAGAATTGTTCGTCAGACATTGTTCCTACGTGAAAGACATCTCGTATACTCGGTAGAAAAGCAAGAGAACGTTAGATAGCCTAGATAATTCGCGAGTGCCGCATCAGGCTGCTTCTATAGCTACCTATGACGCACTGTCATTACGATTGTCAATGCATGAACTGCTATATTACACTATGCTATGTTACACTTGTGTCGTTTGAAACTGGATAACGTTATCGGTACAGTAACCACAATTTCTTTACCTTCGATGATTCCGTGTTTACAAGCGGAGGAAGTTAACCTTGTAACAAGAATCCTCCCCGCGACAATGACTATAACGATGACGACGAAACTAATTAACTGACAATGCTTTCGACACTGCTCTATAACATTGTCAGATCGTTTATAT